ATGGATGGATGGATGGATGGATGGATGGATGGATGGATGGATGGATGGATGGATGGATGGATGGATGGATGGATGGATGGATGGATGGATGGATGGATGGATGGATGGATGGATGGATGGATGGATGGTGCCACGCAGCCCAGGTGAAATAAAGCCATTTTGACCATTAAATAAATGCATAATAAACATAATGGGTCAGCACTGACACATAATAAATGCAACTTATGCACCGAAGCGACATATATGTTTTTTCCTTCTTCATGATGCTGTTTTTTTGACTGATGCGACTTGTACTCTGGAGCAACTTAAGCACCGGAAAATACGGTTAATTCACCACATGTCCTCATGCAGAAACTTTCGCATGCATTATGAAATGCCTATTAATAAGTTATCTATCTGCGGAAGACAACAGATTACATCGGATCTCCTTTATTGCAACCTCTCATCCTGAGCAGCAAATTGGTGACAATGTAAAATAAAAACTCCCTTTTAACAGGAAGAAACCTCCAGCAGAACCAGAAGCAGCCTCGGGATGGGCGGCCATTTTCCTCAACGCTCTTGTTGTTTTTATCGAGCCGTGCACAAGATATGTAGCTTTACAGGTAACACTAGCAACACTCGCGTAGTCACATATTCACATATTCAAACTGACCTCATTTTGTGCAGCTTGGAGAGGTCTGGGTTGAGGCTGGTGAACTTTTGGGCCAGTTTCCAGACAGTGACGATGAAGAAAAAGACATTCAGGATGATGATGATGCACACGGGGCCGAAGAAGCTCCAGATGAGGCCGTCTTTCAGGGACAGCCAGCAGCTAAAGTTGAGAGAAAGGAAACAGATGTTTACATCAGTTTGTTTCAGTGTAAACCACTGGCGTCATTAACATGATGCAAGCAAGAAGGTATCAAACATATGCACCAAACATGAAACAGCCCTTCATTTCCCCTTTCTTTATACACTTACTGCTGCTTAGTGCCGTATCCCTTTGGTCTGATGATGGCAGAGAGAATGACGATGGTGAGCGGGACCCCATAACCAAAGACATACAGGAAGAGGGGGCGAATGCTGGCGTTAAACACCAGGACAACCATTCGGTACAGCTGGACCCCTTCCAGAAGCATCCAGGCCATTACGCCCAGGAAGAAGAAATGAAGCATCGCTGCAACAAACCGACAGCCCCCCTGTTCAAACCAAGAATAAGAAGAAAAACAGCAGCTAAAACATATGTAGAGACATCAAAACCATAAGCTTAAACACTTTAGATTTTTATATCTCGCTATTTTTACATAAAAAGTATAAACCACTGATGGAAACTTTAAAAAATGCTTCTTTACAAAAGCACTAGATACTTGCAGATTTTTCTACGTAAAATTTTAAAGTACGAATGTTAGCTGCTTAAATTAGAAATAATCCAAACACAACAAAATTTGAAACACGCAATATCATCATCACGGAAACAGAAACACAAGAATAAATTCAAAAATAAATAACTAAACCTATAACGTAAAGGTTTATTTTGAGGGATTGTCTGTCACTAGACTGAGGAACAGCTTCTACCATGAAGCTGTTAGACTCATGAAGCCCTAACCAGGATAATCTCTGTGATGACACTTTAATTGGAGATTTGTAACTTATCTGTGCTGCTGATTATCCATGCTGCTGATTTCTTGCCTTTAAGCTGCTGTATTCATACCCATCTGCTCACTACAGACTCATGTTCGTGCTGCTGTTTAAAACACAGTATTATTGCTGAGCATATATATATATATACTTTATTTTTTATACTTTATATTTTTGCTATTGTTGGATGTAAATGGAACTTTGAGTGCACAATTTCATTCCACCTCATGAACTACACGTGATATGAATGACAATAAAGAACCTTGATTTTTTTTTTTTTCCAAAATAAACTAAATGTATTTATAACTGTTACAGACCGTTAGTGAAATTGTTACGTTGTTGTTAATTTGATCTATGAGCAATTCTTTTTCTCAGTTAGTAACATTCAAAGGTTCAGTCAGGAACTTTTTTTGTTGCATGTTTAATATTTGCAGGATGGATCCCAGCCTTTAATCTTAAAGGCTACCTTGGTGTTATCAAAAAAGTAAGATGAGATGAGATGATCAAACCTGAAAAAGAGTGAAACCGACACCAGCACTGTGGTTTTCAAGTTCATGTAAGAACCTGGTGTAACGTGATGCAGTGGCTTGTTTTAAAGGTCATGAAGACAAAAAAAGATTATGTAGAGTTTTGTCTATAAATTGTTCTAAAAGTTGCACGTTAGAGAAACACGTGGTTTTGATAACAGGCAAATGAAGTGATAGATCATTTGTATATAATAATAAAGCCTTTTTATGACACATGAGCGTAGTCACCAAATAAAAGGTTGTTAACAGACGTCCAGCTACCTCATGTCTGCCGGGCTTTTTACAGCATTTTATCAACGCAGCAGGTTTCCCAGCTGTAAACTCAGTGTAACATTCTTCATTAAGTTCAGAGACCAGTCTAACGTTCGTGTTTGAGTCGCAACTTGTTTTTGCTCGACACACCTCAGGTTCGGTTTGAGAAACGCCGACCAGGAAGACGAGGTCGGCCATGAAGAGGCAGATGCAGAGGTGCAGGTGAATGGTGGTGCGAGTCCCCTGAATGGATCGGCAGAACTGAAAGGTCAGGATGCTCAGGACCAGACACACCAGGGAAACGATGAGGCCGACCTTGGTCACCACTTCTAGTTCATACATGGGCTGGAAGAGAAGAAACATTGGCTCTCGGTGATGGTTCACTCAGATAGGAGAAGGAAAAGATGGAATGCAAGATATCTGGAAAATGCATGTGTGCTTAATAAACTCTGTGATCTCTGGTTGGTCAGTGCCTGACATTTATTCAAAATGGCTACAAGCTGCAGAAGTTAACAGTGCTCATGAAAACAATCTAAATAATCTAAATAATTAGTCTAAAAACGCTATAAAACACTGGAATGTTGTGTAAACAGATTAAGATCAGCATCACAAATACAAACAAAAACCAAAGGGCCTTGAAAACGTTTTGTGAAGTTCTACAGATTAAACCACGTGTCAAACCGAAGGTCCGTGGGCCAGACTCGGCCCTTTTTAACATTTTGGCCCATCAATCTGTAACAGAGCCTCCTCTATCGCAGGGGTGCCCAATACGTCAATCGTGATCTACCGGTCGATCGCGAAGACAATATCAGTAGATCGCACGGTGAAATAGACGTCAGACTTTTTTTTTTTTATGTTTTATTTAAATAGACGTCAGTCGATCGATCCCTATTCACTTTGCAAATCGTCACTTGATTGACGTACAGGGCAGCCAATCAGAGACCGGATCTTTTCTGACGCATAGGTCGCCACGCATGTGCATTCAACCGCGCTGAAAACAAACGAGTTGACTCGTAACAGCCTCCAGCTTGTTTCTTTTAATCTAAACTCAGAAAGTGTGTAAAATGAGTGGGGGAGCTGGACCAAGAAAGAAGCAAAAAAATCTACCATTTCCATACGGAATGGGAGGAGGATGATTTTTTTTCCACAATGTTATATTCAACTAAATTTTTTTTTAATCCAGATTAGTCTCATAACCTGGATAAATAAATAAATAAAGGTTGAATGAATGAATTGAGTCACAAGGACTCGTTTACAGGAGAGACCAGTTTTAGACAGACAACAATAAACTACAGTAAAATGCAATTAAAATAAAAGTAGTGTTATAAAACAATAAATCAAGGTGCCATATAAAACATGATAAAATACTAAAAACAAGAATGTACAAAGCATACTTCATATGTTTGTAAATAAGTACATGTTTTGTATTTTTATAGATCACTCGGACTTGGTCATTTTAAAAGTAGCTCGCATGCTGAAAACGTGTGGGCACCCCTGATCTATCACAACTCTTTTTACCTAAAAGCCTGAGCTCGCTCACAGCAAACTCCTCGTGACAGCTACGCAACTCCAAAGACAAAAGTTTTGGATGTTACAGGAACCTTTGATTTTGCTGTGAAAGAGGAACTAAAAGCGTTTAAACAAGGCTGATCAAACTCTTGTTGATGAACTTGCAGCCAAGAGAAGACGCCAGGAATCTGGCGGTAAGTTAAAATCAACCGTCTGCTTTTCAAAAATTCCTTTTCTCGTTTATTTATTTATTTATTTATTTTAAGTCAAACGTTTAAATTTAATTTCCAGTGAAGGCTTTTTTTTTAAACTTATCTGATGGACTGGGATAACGTGTATTACATTCATTCTTAAAATGTTCAATTAAAGGGTGATTAAGAGGCTTCTGCAGGACATGAGGAGATAATTCAACTATTGAAGCAGGTGTGTTGGAGCAGGGACACAAAACATGCAGGAAAGTGTCCCTGAGGACCAGGACTGGACACCCCTGCTCTAAACGCTACATGAATAAAATGATCATTTGTATATTTATATAAATATTTGAAATATTACATGTGAAAACCAAGTTGCTGATATTTTAAATAAATATAAGAATGATCGAGGGGCAGCACGGTGGCGCAACTGGTAGAGCTGCTGCCTCTCAGCGAGCAGGTCCCTGGTTCAAACCCCGGTCCGGGGGCCATTCTGGGTGGAGTTTGCATGTTCTCTCCGTGCATGCGTGGGTTTTCTCCGGGTGCTCCAGTTTCCTCCCACAGACCAAAAACATGCATGTTAGGCTGATTGGTAACTTTAAATTGTCCCTAGGTGTGAGTGAGAAAGTGAATGGTTGTTTGTCTCGTTTGTCTCTATGTGGCCCTGGACGGGTCGCAAGTCCATCACAGGG